AATGAATGAATGAACGATGAAGGTTTCAATATGACCTTTTTATAAAGGGAAAAAAAGTCTGTTTTTAATAACCAATGAGACATGATAGGGCCCAAAGTAGACAAAACACCCTTATATGCAATGTATACATATTGTTTGTGAGATCCATTACAAATACCAGCATAAATTCAAGCAGATTGCATTTACTGATGTCTAGCAATATTGTGACAACTTCAGGATGAAGGACAATGTAACATTTGTCACAACACTGTTTGTCATTTTATTTAGTCTCCCTCATATATAGAGTGCGTAAAAAATTATAGAAATCCACGTCTCAGAAGGAATTACTGCAGTATATTTTCTTTTAATCTCTGCTGTAGATCAGAGCCTGTTCTCTTGGTTTGGATTGTAAAACACTTACAAGATGAAACCATTAATCTTTGCATTGATAAAGAAGGGAATTCAGACTGCAAATGGACTGATATGAACAAGATCATTTGGCAGACCTGCTTTTATTGTTGACTTATTGCGTCATTTTTCATGGTGTCTGTGTGTGGGGTGTTCAGCCATGATGAATGTAATGCTGTATGAAAACATGCTTTCACAGAAATTGATGCTCTTTCCTAGAGAGGAGAAGGTGGCTTGTCAAAATATTCTTATTAGGGACTCTTCCGAAAGCAAGGAAACAATCACATAAACATCTGATTAAAAACCTTAAATGCCTCAAAAAGATTCATTGAGAGGCCCAACTCAATGCAAGCTTGACAGAAGTGTGAATTGAGAGCGCATAGCAGCATAGGGAATGCATGTGAGCATCCTTCTGTAAGGTCTGTGGTTGACAAGGTCAGGATATTTTCACATTTTATTCTATGACATAAAATCAGTAATAACCCTTGTGATTTTTTTAAATCTTCTACTTGTCTTGAAAAACGTGGATGCAAACAAATGGCTAAATGGACTACAGAGGTTGCCAGGACATTAAGCGTCACCACGCCGTACAAGTAAACTCATCTACTCACTAGTCTGGTTTTTCTCATTGTGTTTATAATCATTGTGATGTGCCTCATTGTGTTTATAATCACGCTCTTGCAAACTATTCTAACTTAAGCGTTCAGGGAAAATGTTTTTTAAATAAAAAGTGAAAGAGTTGCCAGAAGCTTAATGGTGGTAACGTTGCTGTCATGCGACCACGGTCTAGTTTGTTTTTTTAGTTTTGGCAATGGTACTTAGGCTCCAAAAAAAAAAAAAATTGTGTTAATTTCTGAAGATTTTCATAATGAACAAAACATTAAGAATCATGAACTGTTGTTGGTCAAATAGTTTATTTTCTGCAATAATCCAAAAGCCAGTGGAAAAATCATATTTGTTTTATTGTCGAGGGAACCAGGGTGATGCTAACTTCTGGGTTGGCCAACAAAAATACATCATCACTGCAGCACTCTTTTGGCACATCATTTCTATAATGAGAATCATGTAGATTAAAACAGTAGTAGGCTAAGAATTGATCCCTGGGGAACACCACAACTTATAGATTGATTTGAGGAGTTGTTTCTATGAAAATAAGCAAACTTCTTTCTGATTCAGATCAAATAAACACGAATGTCTGAGAGCAGACGAGAAGACATTACAGGCCCATAAATCAACAAAAAGGAAATGCTATACTGGTACTGTCATAACTATTCAAAGGACAAAATGCAGACTCGTATAGCTACTTGAAAGTACACATAACTGCAGACAAGGGGCAATGTCTAGTATTTATTAGGATTTAGAAATTAGTTTCTTGAGGATTGGGGTGAAGTAGTAGTTGTGTTAGAACAGTGCTGGAGGTGTTAGATCATGAATGAGGTGACGCCAAGAATGTTAGATCAGGAATGAAGAGACAGGGAGTCCAGGTTGGAGATGAAGAGTCTTTTATTAATGCCGCTTACTAGTCAAGTGTCAGTTGAGAAGTGGCCAAATGGCCAAGAACACAGAAATCACAACTAGATCTCCCTCTCTGCCTGCCCAAGCATTTGCATACTTCCCAGTTCCCAGGTGTGCCACATGTACTTGTTTATCAGTTCTTAACAGAAACATACAGTGTGTAGTTCATCCTTGCATATAAAACTATGATTATGTTACACAGTATTTGAAGAATAAAGACTGAAAATATTAAAAGCATATCCAGTATGTTCTCACAGAGGCAAAGATATCTGTTAATCATGAGGGATATTAGTAGCCTATACTACACATTCTGGGAAATGTTCTTCCACAATGGTTTTATATATATACACATACATACATACAAACTTTTATGTGAACAAATTAAAAATGAATAAAGCAATTTATTCCATTTTAATTCTGCTTTAAATTCCAGTTCGATTTACAGTTTTGTTCGATAACTCAGGAATTGAATTGCAATACATTCATTTATTTCTGAATGGCACACAAGGATGTCCCTGAAGGACACAAGACAAGCTTCTTGTAAAACTGCTCGTAGTGTTTATAGCCTGAAGCTCTGCAGCGTTTCAAGGAAAGGATTGAGAATGTATTGAGAGAGTAGTTTTAAAGGAGAAGTGTTCATTTGCGGAGACTACTATTAGGTTGATTTCTTTGAAATGTGTAAACCACACTGCCAAAAAAATGTCAGAATATTAAGAAAACTGGAAACTTGGAAGTTACTCAGAAGAACAGAGAATGTTTCATTTGCATGCAAGAATGAAAAGTTGAGGTTTATGATAGAGATTATTATCATGTAATCTGAGAATGTGTGACAGTGATGAAAATTTTTTTCATAATGGTATGCTCTAGTTGACCTAGTGCTGTTGGAATGTGTCCCTAGAGCATTTCCTTCACTTTATTGCCAATAGCTTTTAAAATATAACCTGTTTCTTATCAGTCAAGTCATCTGAGAATTAGTGTGTGAATGTTTATGAACCAGGAAACAAACCCCCACTGAGTGTTACATTCTGATGTAGCCATAGAAGCCTCACCTTGGAACTTACTGTAAGGAAAAGACTGTTGTTTTGGATGCTATACAATAGTATGCTACAGTATTTAAGAATACTTGCTATTTAAGAATACTGTATATGAATATTGTGAATAGTTTTAAGGTATCAATGGGGTAAAAATGTTTTTTGTTTTTTAAAGCCATAAAGCCAAAAATCCCATTGTCCTTGGAGTGAGAACTAATGTGTCAGAAAAGCTGTTATCTTACATAAAATTAATAAAGCATAAGAAGTATCCACTTTAAAACACATCAAAAGTTTGTCTTTAATTTTTGAGAAATATGATTTTGATAATAACTACAAATCAACGTTTGGTGCCAAAGCTAGACTGAGGAGGTCTATAATGAAGAAAGCTGTTAGCATTCCCATTCATCTCAATGGCAGTTTGTTTCTCTGCTGGTGTAAGATGTGTGTGACGTAAAACTTATGTGATCTTGCCCACAATTCTGGATACACTTGTTTATGAGCCATGACACCCAAGTCATAAAAGTGAGTAAGACTATTCAATGAACAGGAAAATATGTCATAGCAATGCTGATTGGTTGATGGCACCATGATAATACAAAGTCCCAAGCCCTTCACTTGCAACTGTCATGAGCAATGCAATCAAGTGCAGTAGACGGAAAAAAATTTCAGAATACACTTTAAATAAATTATTTTAAATGGCAATCAAGAAGATTGTCCACAGAGGGTGTAGTTATGGCCTTCACCAGTAGGGGCTAAAAGGCCCATGCTAACTAGCCAAACTCAAACTCCATGAGCTACCCTCTACACGTTTACAGCAATTTTATATTATTTTTGGTTTATGCTGTGCTGGCTATTATGGCAGACATCTTGGATTTATACTGGATGCAGAATTATGAAATTGTTTCCATTATATGCCACTGTAGAAATTTGCAGTCTGCATAAACAGACATTTATGAGCACTGATTGCTCATATTACACATTTAAGCAAAGCTTTCAAAAAAAATCACAGTTCCATGCTCACGACATCACGGACACCAGTATTTTAATTATTCATAAAAGATAAATTACTGTCTGACCATCTGAGATTTCAGTATGAATATAAAGGTTATATTTTCGGTAGTATTACAGCACACTGTGACTGTATATTAACATTGTTTGTTGTTTGCTTGTGCAACTAATAGAGCGTTTGAACCCAGAAAATGAGATGTGTGAAGCCAGACTTGAGTAAATAGTATGGCAGCCCCCTTATGAGACAACCCACTCCACGTAAGTTAAAGGGGTCATATGATGTTGCTAAAGAGAACATTATTTTGTGTATTTGGTGTAATGAAATGTGTTTATGTGGCTTAAAGTTTCACACACGGAGGGCTAGAGTGAGCGGCGGTGGGCTTGAGAACGGTGCGGCCGGCGGATTCGGCGAAGGAGCGGCCGGCGATTTAAAACAGGTTGTTAATGGGTGCTCTCTTAAATCTGCCAGCATTTTTACATGTTTTTAGCCTTTAACCTATAGGAGTGATTGATTGATTTTATTTTAATTTTATTAAGGTTTACTGCTAGAATCTAGTGAATTCACACAAATCAAGGTTTTAAACTTTAACCAGACATGGCCCAAATTGTGTTAAGCTTAAATAAAAGCACATACAATGTTTAGTTTCACCGCCTAAGAATCATTTCCCCAAGGTTAAGGCACTTCTTTCACTGAAAGCACAGAAAAATTATTTTTTTAGACATTTTTAGCTTTCAAGATTTTGTTCCTTATTTGTAAAAAAATAAAAAGTGCAGATGTGCTGTGTCTAGCGTGAAACTCACATTACATTAAGGTAGATATTTAACGTATAGGTCAGAGTTTCCATTACTCATCCAATAATAAAAATCGTAATGTGTGACGTACAGACAGAACGTGGGGGTGGTCCACGCCCTAAAGGGTTACGTGGGTTAATGACGTCACGCGGCGATAAATATGTATTGATAAGCCACGCCCATACGGCGTTGCTCATTGGCTGTGAGTTCGTGTGAAAGGCGTGGTCTGTCCTGTAATCTAGGAGTGAACGTAGAGTTGTCATTCGACGGTTTGGGAGGGTACGGAAAATCCAGTGAGATTACTCAAGTGAAGCCGGAGACCCAGCACGCATCGCCGGCCTGCCATGACGCAAAACTCCGCTAGCAAGCTTCTGAATGGAGACACCGTACACCGGACGAAACAAGACAAGAAAACGGGCGGAAATGGGTTCGTGAAGAACCACTGCTTGTTCCAGCAGAAGCGATACCGCCGCCCGGCGGAGAAGGTGAGGCCGCCTCCTGCGCTACATACACCCAGAAACACGCTCCAGTGTACATACAGGGGCCGCTTAGGCTGCTACTATGAGTTAAATTAGAATAGAAATAATTCTGTTTCGTATTGGTATTTTATTGTGTTTCCGAGTGTGATTTCGGAAAGAACCGTTCATCTGGTTTAAATGTGTGTGTAGGGAGGGGGTGCTTGGATGTGTATCATGGTTTCAGTTTTCTGTGAAGTTTTCATGTGTTCAAACATTTAACCGTTATATATAGCATCTTCCACATATTTAAATGTACGAAATGCTATTTAATGGCTTTCAGTTCATTTTAAAAATTAATTTCCTTCTAGACATTATTTATTAAAAATGTCCTTGTCTTTTGACACAGTTAAACCTTTTAGTTGACATGTTTATTTATTTGTTTGTTTGTTTTACTCATCTGCAATTAAATTACGATGGTAAAAATAATAAGAATGATATGATGATATTAAAATTTTAGTTCATCAAATCATGATTGACCGAATTATGCTAACTGAAGATGCACATTAAACACCACTGCTGAAGAACATTTGTCTAATTTTGACACAAGCATTATAGTTATTGAAATATAGTCCTTGTGGCAACAAGCCCATCATGGTCTCCTCATTAAAGTGCCTGAAGCCCCTTCAGTTATGACTAAATATACTATATAGCAAATTTACTATAACCTAAAGTGCCCTGTTGGTTTTGCTTAACAGCTACAGATACTAAATCCTATAATAGGGATGTAACGATTCACCGCAAGCCGGTTGAAAATCAATACAAATATGTTTAGATTATATTTCCTTTTCATCTGGTCTCTGTATAATTCATACTAAAGCAGCGTTCATAAGCGCTGCGCTGCTTTGTTTACAGCGGTAACCAAGGAAACGCTGTATATGGCTGCTGTTCCATGAGCGCCACCTGCTGTCAGAGAGTGAATCTGCGGCTCATTCAGAGCTTCTGCTCTTTGTTTCGTGGCGTGCAGATGTTTTATGTAGTATAGTTTCACAAAACTAAAGTCAGAGCATTCTGTTTTTGTTTTAAAATTTCATGCAATCTAATTTATATTTTAAAAAACTGCTCATGCTGCATGTATTCAGCATCTTTGTTTGGATTGTGATTCAAATGCAGTGGTTGCCTCTCATTTTGAATGTAAAGAGCACAGGTAGCCTTTGTTTATATGAAGAGATTTTTTTTTGTCTTAAGCAAATTTATTAAGTGTCATCCTTCTGCTAGAAGAAACTGTACCTGACCTGCAAACTGAAGCCGTGCTTGATCTTTATCGGTGTTGTGCACTTCTGCTGTTTCATGTGACACTGGTGACAAGAATTATGGCTGTACGTTAACTTTTTTTTCACATAGCACTGGTGCTACAGAGGCAGCCCTGCTATGATATCAAAAATTGTTGATATCATAAAGACCTTATTTAAAGCAAAAATAACTATATATATATATATATATTGTTACCGTGAAATAAAATGACAAGATTTTGGTCATATTGCCCACCCCTACGTCAGACCTTCCAATATTTTCACATTCAAATGTAAATAATTACTGATCTGTTAAACATTAAGTAATGTTTGTTCATGACTTAATAATAGAAGTTGAGGTTATTATATAGTGCCCACTTTTAATCCTCAACATGAAAAGCATTAGCAGCCTATGACATTGAGATGAATGGTTATGGGATCAAATAAATTGTTTGTGCTTAGCGTTTTAGTCGTCTCTGTTTGTATTGACACAAGCATGGAAAATAACAGTGCAGTGTTCTCTCATGTAACTGGAGATCAGCGCTTTGTTCTTTGCAACCTGAGGATGTTTGCCCAGAGCACTTCTGAGCTACATGGGAGCAACAACTTTTCCAAGAACATGGGCGTGTTGTCAAGCTAGTTTTTCTTGTTCCTTATCATCAAAAGGGACCTATGGGTGAGGTGTGCAGTAATTTTATATAGTTTTTATTTTTTTTTAAATGTAACATGCTAAATGTGCAAGCACATATGCAAACCATGTAAAGCAGGTCTTGTCAGTATGTTGATTATTAATAATATATAGTATTAAATATTTTAATTTCAGTAGAAAAAATGTAAAAAGTTAAGATTTTTTTCTGCTAATCAGGTCAAACAATCTGTTTCAGTTAATCGATTCAAAATTGATTTTGAACAGTTTGTTTGCTCAAAAATGGGATTTGTTATTTACTCAAATGTTTTGGTAAAATGTATTTCTATCTAAATATTGCTGTTAATTACCATGTATTGTTATTAGTGTTTGTTTATTTTATTTATTATTATTTTATTTTATTTTTTTGATTTTTGATTTTTTTGGCTGTTCACATTTGAAAAATTTGGCCAATATCAGATTTAAGTGTACATATTCCCAAATATGTACTTTTTCTATTCCCGAATCAGAATAGAACAGATCTGTTAATAGACAAGTCACTGTTAAGGAAAGAAAGAAAGAAATACATAAAGATTTTGGGCCACTTTTGCCTGTTTTCTGAATGTAGCCTTTGTCTGGGGGGAAAATGACTCTTAAGCCATTTCAGAAAAAGTAGGCCTATATTAATATAGGGATATATAATGAATAGCATCAAAATATTTCATCCAGACCTACTGTAAATAGTTTCAGTAGTTTGAGTTAACATTTCCAGTCCTTCTTAAAAGAAGGTTTGACTGCCTTGTTTCAGGAAGGAACTATGACTGACTGACTGACTTGGAAACTGAACAAATATAAGATTTTCCTGTATTTAGCAATGGAGGTTTTCCCGCAAAGTCTTTCACACTTAGTGCTGCCACAAACTGTGTTAACCCTGACTTAACTGAGCTTTACGCAAGAAGGGATCAAGCCATTCCTTACCGGAAGGGCAGATTATAGAGTGGATGCAGCTGAGAGAAGCATGAGTTTGATCACATGCTGCTGTTAAGCAGTGTGAGTGTAAAGGCAAACTCTGGTTCATTTGCTTGACTGGAGTAGCAAATGGAGTTCTGCTCTTCTGATCATCTCTGGTGTCTGTAACCTCATGTTTAAAGCTGTGAGCAGTTTCAGTCCCAACTACAGTATTACATTTTCCATAGAGAATGCGAGTATGGGTGGCTACCGGTGTATTGTTATGCAATTACTAAAATGTTCAGAGTGTTGTTATATAGTTGCTTATTATTGGCCCAACTTAAAAGAGCCCATCCCTAAATTTCAGCATTATTCTGGTCTCTATGTATATTCTTTCAGTGCTCCACCTGTACTGAAATGATTTGTCTTTAATCAAGTGTGGACAAAATAAATCTACTGTACTGTTATCTGTTTTTTATAAGACTAGCTGAACATTAATGTTGTTTTTATGCTGTTGATGTTTGCTTTGGTTTTGTTTATGAGGTGCACTTTGTAATGTTTAGATATTCATTTTTCAATGTAGATTCTCTTCATATGAACCCCCCCCCACAGAACCATCATGCTTCATGTACTTCGCTTTATAAAAAGCCATTTGTGGAGTCGTTTGAGGAGACGCCGCTCCTGGTTGCCGTCCTCACCTACATAGGCTACGGCATCCTTACAATTTTTGGCTATCTGCGAGATTTCCTGAGGGACTGGAAGTTTGAGAAGTGTCATCTGGCCAGAGAGAGAGAAGAACAGAAGGTACGGTTATAACACATTTGTGGTGCTCGTCTGACTTTTATTTATTTAATGCTGCCCTGAGTAATGTATTTCACATAACAGATGTTTACGTATAATCTTCAAGACAAAATAAAAACTGTATTTACACTAGAGACCTTGTTTACAAGTTTAAATAAGATTCGTAAAACTGTGCATTGCCACCTAGATGGTCAATGGCTATTTACTGCTGTTTTGTGATACTTGTTCATGAGTCCCTTGTTTGTCCTGAACAGCTAAACTGACTGCTGATCTTTAGTTTTAATGCAGCTTCACAGTAATAAACAGATATGAGACCAATTCAAATTCTGCTGCAAACCAGCTCTAAAAAGACAACAGTGTTATTATTCAGCTCCAGTCAATTCAGTGTTGGTTCAGTTCAGTTCATTAACTGTGTAAAGTCCATCAATAATGAAATGAATTCAATTCCGCTATTAGCAGCTCTACAGAAGATAACCGTGTTGTTATTTAGCTTGAGTCAGTTTAGTGTTGATTCAGTTCAGTTTAGTAACAGTGATGTGAAGTCAGTTTAGCTATAAATAGCTATATATAGCTACCAGGCTCAGTCAGGGGTCAGTTCTCCTCTGGCAAAATGAGCAAACACTGTGTGATTTATGATTCCAGGCTGCATCACAACAAGTCATATTTGTGGATTGATATTATTCAAATATAAGTTTAATGTATGTTCTGTTCCCAGGATTTTGTTCCTCTGTACCAGGACTTTGAGAACTTCTACACCAGGAATCTGTACATGAGGATCAGAGACAACTGGAACAGGCCCATACGCAGCGTCCCTGGAGCCAAGATGGACCTTGTGGAGCGGGTCACACCTGACTACAACTGGACCTTTGAGTGAGTGTTACACTGTGCCAGCACACCAGGATGTTGGATCCAGCTTACCAGATCCCCTCAGAAGATATCTGTTTTGACTGATATCCAAACTAATCGGCGGGGTTTTGTCTGATACCCAAACCCTGTTAACAGAAAGCCTGATATCCAAACTAGTCAGCAACTACTTATTCCATCAGTCCAAGAGACAGGGCAAGAGCAGGAAGAAGAAAATTTAGAAACAGAAATTAATTACAGATGTAATTACAGGACGGTATTTTCAAATATAAGTACAATGTAAAAACATGTATATACACAATAAGTGCATTGTATCAAATATTAATTTAAATGTAAGTACATAGTATTTAAAGGTGGGGTAAGCGATTTTTCAAAAATGCTTTAGAAAACTGATTCGGGCCGAATAGCAAAACAAACTTGTAGCCAATCAGCAGTAAGGGGCGTGTCTACTCATGATGTGGAGGAGAGAGCGTTCAGTGCTAAAGACGGACATTAGTGAGCCGAGCTAATGATGGCGGATAAAAAACAAAAGAGGAAAACGTCTGCGGAACAAAAGAAGGCATTGCGCCGCGCCGCGTCAGTGTAGACCATATATATGTATATATATCTATGGTGTAGACAGCATCACTGATTATAATGAGTTCTATAGTATTTTGTTGCGCCGCGCCACTCGCGTCTGGTGTAGACACGGTGTAACATTGGTTTTGCTTTGTTTCACAGAACTAATCGTTGCCTGGGTTGCGCATGTATGTGTGGGGCGGAGCTATCAAAATAGGGGCGAGACCCTTTTGGGGTAGGGGCGTGTTTGTTTTGGTGATTTCAAATGTCAACATTGGCAACCAGAAATCGCGACCCCCACCTTTAAGGAAAAATCTGAAAATTAAATAAAATTATTCAAATGAGTATATAAACTACCTGTCAGAAGTTTGGATTTTTTAATTGTAATGATAATATGTTAATTGTCATTTTAATTACAATACAGCTGCTGAAAACAGAAAGTGATTTTAGATTGTAATAATTTTTAACAATATTGCTGTTTTTACTCTATTTTTGCTCAAAATAAATGCAGCCTTGGTGCAAATAAGACACTTCTTTCAAAAACCTTAAAAAAACATTAACTATTCCAAACTTTTGACCAGTAGTGTATATGTAAAAAGTAATATTAAAAAAATAACGAGTTTTAGAGGCCATATATTCTCTTTTTTGAAGGTAATGCGTGTCATTTTTATTAGTAGTATTATTTTTGAGATGTTCAGGTTATTCCTTGTTTTGTTTTTTTTTGTTTTTTCATTGTTCTTTCTTCCAGACACACAGGAAAGGTTCTGAAAGATGTTATTAATATGGGCTCGTATAACTACCTCGGCTTTGCTGAGAATACCGGCACGTGCGCTGATGCTGCCTCTGAGTGCACTGTGAAATATGGCGTGGGGGTGTGCAGCTCCAGGCAAGAGACAGGTAATAACTACTCACTCTCTCAGGCTTTACAGCCACTACTTCTCTGGTATAATATGGGCCAAATAATGATATGACACTTTTTGGGTAGGTTTTAATAGATTTTAAAGGACCATATATTTATATAAGTCCTCTTATAAAATTAATCAAGATTTTGACCTTGTCATGATAATTTTCCACCCTCTTACTGACACGTAGAATATTTATTCATATATTCAGTTCTTATTGAGTCATTCATCCCACCAGGTGATGATTTGCTTTTATGGTAGAAAATAAATGTGCGGCACTATGCAAAACTTATTTCTTATCTAATTTGTATCATTGTGTCCCTGGTGTGTGATGTTTACATAATGGCAACATAAAAAGGAGGAAACAGTTCTGTTATTATACAAATCTGTTTTTGCATCATTAAGATATTTGCTCTCTTGCAGGAAATCTTGATAAGCATGAAGAGCTGGAGAAGCTGGTGGCCAGGTTTTTAGGGGTGGAGTCATCCATGGTCTTTGGAATGGGCTTTGCTACAAATTCCATGAATATTCCTGCGCTCATGGGAAAAGTAAGTTGTTTTAAACACAAACATCAAGTCAAATGGAATGCTAAGAATTTCCTTTTTAAATCAAAGCCAAGTAAAGTGGCAAAGATAATTGTGGATCGGGAGTTCTGTTTTTGTTCTTTTATTGAAATACTCCCAATGATCATATCTGTTCCTTCACAGATTTCTTTGGCTCACACAGGAAATTTGTCATAACTCAGTCACGTAACATGTTATTGAAAGCCATTATGTTTTAGAATGTATGCACACATTCCTGGTTTCATTCACAACAGATTTGATTACTTTTGAGGAATTCCAACTTGTCCCCCATATACAAAATTAAATATTGTTTCCCTACCTGGAAATCCTGGTAAAATCAGGGTAAAAGATGCTTTAATGGTCTTCAAAGTAGAGGTCGACTGATTGATCAGTTTTGCCGATTAATCTGCAACGATAGTTGATTGCCAGAAATATCGGCTATTTGCAAAAATCCATGCCACTAGTTTTTCTGGGTTGCGTCCATTGCTGGAGCGGCTGAGAAGCTCCGCTGTCATTATACAGTACGAGAGCGGCCTCTAGAGGCAGAATCACTGACACCAAGTGCTGTTTGTTTTGACACGTGACACTGCTCACTGCACAGAGTGGAGACTTCAAATGTGGATTTAAAACAGACAACAAAACGGTGTGTATAAAGTATACTATAGTGCATGTTTTCATATCATTACTACGTAATTACTTTGCTGACTAGATGTTGAATTAGTGGAGAAAGATCAGCAGTTTGCTTTCAAGGCTGAGAGGACATGAACATTAGTATTACCTCAAGCAGTTAAAACAATGTGACCAAAACACACGCAAGTCTGACTGTGACGGATCGGCTGCCTTCCCCCTAATTATCATCATCACCCCGTCCCTTAATCACCGCCAACAGGAGTGGGTGTGTGAGAGAGGAGGGGTGCAGAAACAGCCAGGTCTGGCGGCCTGAGGCTCACCTGAAGTCAATGGGGCCTCGTCACCGCCGCTGTTAAAAGCTGAGCGTGCCTCTCCTCAAGAGACCGGTCTCTTCCCCCTGTGCATGTACGCTGGTGTCCTTGTGGGTCCAGGAGGGAAGAGAGGGGAGTGCGTTCGGCCGCCGGACTCTGCCCCCTACCTGGACCCCTCCTTTCTGAATACTGCCCTTCCTTCACAATTCCCCAGCACAACGAGGACACCAGATCCAGTTTATTTTGGACACTATTTCCCCTTATGACACTTTATTTCCGTTTTGGACATTTTATGTTTTATTTACTGTTAAATAAAAGCCTCTACGAGGCCTGATGCCACACCCACTGTATCTGTCGTTTGCTCCTCCCGCCACACACTGACCCAAATATTTAATGTCACAGTTGTCACCATCTATTTGCATTAGTTTATATCCAGTTGGTCACATTAATGCATTTGTTAGCCAGCGAAGTTGCAGATTTAACGGGGCCATGAACTGCCTTTTTTTATTATTTTGTACTGTTCTCTGAGGTTCACTTATAATGTTATCAAGATTTTTACATCAAAAACCAATATTGAGGCAGGAATAGGCTATTTTCTGTCCTGTTTTGACCCCCTCTCATCGGAACGCTCTGTTTGAATAGGCGTGGCGGATTGTAGACTCGGAAGTAAATGCCCACTGCTATGATTGTCTAACCGTTGTATATGTTTGCCTTCATAGATGGACGCTGCTGTGAATTAGGTCAAAACTGCATAAATGCTCAGTTCATATCAAACGATCTGTAATAACAGACAAAGCAATAGTGATCACGTAATAAAAACAGTTACTCACACTTGTGTGGTGCGACATTACTGTCGAATCCAATATAGTCGGCACAGAATCGTCTTTTAATTTCAGTCTTTTAGAAAATCCGGCGTCGAATTGTGCCTTGTTTGTAAACGAATCCGCGGTGAAATTAAGTGAACAAACGACCAATGTTGGGATCAGATGGAAGGTTATGCAGAGACTGTTTGTCCACAATTTGGCACTGCACAGCGTCTTGTTGTCTTCGGAGCATCTTTATCGTTTGGTTTCTGTGTAGACCTGCATTCGTCTCTCTCTCAGGCGTTGATGATCTTCTGTGGAACAGTGTTAATTTTGACAGGAATTTTTGATTTAGTCTTAGTCTTTATCTTGAGACGAAAATGCTTAATAGTCTTAGTCACATTTTAGTCATTTGAGTCGTCAATAGTTTTAGTCGACGAAAAGTCATTCACTCAGGGCCGTCCTTAGGGGGGGGTGCAACTGGTGCGGTCGCACCGGGCCCCGTGCTTGAGGGGGCCCCGCGGCGAACGGACGAAGACGCGGCATAAATTTCGTCATAGTTTTTATCATCAGATATTAGTTTTAGCTCGTCAAAGTCTCATCTTAGTCACTGAAAAAACGTTTGTTAACGAATATTTTTCGTCGTCGTCTTCGTTGATGAAATTAACACTGCTGCGGAGGGCAGAGGCGGTGTTTAGCCAGACTATTACGTCATAGAGTGGCACATTCCACAAGATGTCGTTTTGGGAGATTGGCTTCAATGTAAGCTGTTTTTAGACTAATGAGAAAGTTTTGAGTTCTGAAACTTACAGGATGTTTTTATAGTACGATGACCTCTTATTTGTCAAAAGATTCCTCAGTTCATGACCCCTTTATAGCTGTAACAGAAGAAAGCAAACTGATTTGTTTTTACATTTGAAATGTTGCTTTGTATCATTTCAACTCTTTAGCCAACAGGTTTATTATTATTTTATATGCATTCTTGCTTATCATTAAATTAACCTATGTGTGTATTTCTCTTAGGGCTGTCTGATCTTAAGTGATGAGCTCAATCATGTATCTCTGGTTCTGGGTGCCCGTCTCTCTGGCGCTACCATCCGTGTATTTAAACACAACAGTAAGTTCATGCAAAAAATTTTGCCCAAAGTGAAAAGAAAAATGCTTTGCAAAACAGTCACAACCAGTTAGATAATATTTGATGTTTAATATATAGGATTGTGGACCAATATGAGTTCACAGTGGGTGGCTCAGACATAGAAACTCCCTCATTACTGAACGCTTTTGTTTGCAGAATAAATTAATTATGTGTGATCAGTGTATCTGAATTGGCATTTTGCCACAAAAATCTAATATAAGTGAACCTCAGAGGAATAAAATGCAATAATATGCCATACTTTTTATAACCTGCTCACTAAGAACAGTATTCGCAATAACATATTAAGATGCCTGCTCCTTTCTAACCGGTACTCTCAGATATGCAAAGTCTGGAGAAGTTGCTCTGGGATGCTATCGTGCATGGCCAACCTAGAACCCACCGGCCCTGGAAGAAGATCCTCATCCTCGTTGAGGGAATTTACAGGTATAGCAGAAATCTTTATCTACCTTCTTCACTCTATATACTCGTCTTTTCAGGCTTGAGCAGAAATCTGATTTGTTTTGTGCAAAGCATATGCAAATAGAGGCTGGTTTGCATACGCTTTTTCTGGTTTGGATGAAGGCCATTTCATTCTTTGTCATTATCCATAAAGAGGCAAGCAATAATAATAATGATATCATATTTACCACATGTGCATTCATTGTAATGCCAGAGGAGGATAGAATAGGTGTTTTTTTAATAAAAAGATTTAACATTTTCAAACAAAAATGGCAAAGCAATATCTAGTCCTTTATGGGAATGCATTTAATAGTACGCCTGCATTCTTCTTTTTAGCATGGAGGGCTCAATAGTCCGACTTCCTGAGATCATTGTCCTAAAGAAGAAATACAAAGCCTACCTGTATCTGGATGAGGCCCACAGCATAGGGGCACTAGGACCAAGAGGCAGAGGTGTAGTGGACTACTTTGGCCTGGATCCATGTGATGTTGACATCATGATGGGCACTTTCACAAAGAGCTTTGGTGCTGCTGGAGGATACATCGGAGGAAAGAAGGTTTGTAGCCAATTCTGCTGTCAATGGCGTATCACATTAGATTACTACACACACACACACACACACAAGAATCACACATGCTGGTTCGAGTCTGGACTGCAGCCTGTTTTTAATAATGATACAAAGTGACTCCTGCAAAAAATGTGCTTCTCAATATTACATATGCTTGTAATTCAGGATTGCAGTATACATTTAGCTTAAATCGGGATTCTTATGTAATCATTTTTATTTATTATTTTGTTTTAATTAATTTTTATTTTTATGTTTTTTGAAGGACCTGGTTGATTACCTCCGCTTACATTCTCACAGTGCAGTTTATGCTACCTCAATGTCCCCACCCATCACCCAGCAGATTATCACTTCAATGAAGTGCATTATGGGAGAGGATGGCACCACATTAGGTGAGTTTAGAATTTTATTCTGGATCAGTTCTAATAAAGATTACAAAATACTAAAATACTATTTGTACAGTTACCTAATATAGCAGCAATATACACTGCCTGGCCAAAAAATAAAAAATTAAAATCACCATTTGGATTTAAATAAGCAAATATTGAATTTTCTAGGATTGGATCATTATTGCAGTGATTAATATGTTTCTGGCATGTTATATGTTTGGCAACAATTCTTTTAACACAAACTGATGCAGTGTTTAGCTTTTCATTTCTTGAACAACCATCCCGTGTCCATATTCCAGGATGACAATGCCAAGATTCATTGGAGCCAAATTCTGAAATACTTTTTCAGTGAGCATGACGAATCATTTTCACACATGAATTGGGAGCCCTGAGCTTAACCTTATTGAAGTTTTTTAGGATGTGCTGGAGTCGACTTCACAGAGTGGTTCGACTCTTCCATTGTCAATACAAGATCCTGGGCAAAAATGTATAAATGGATCGAAATAAATGTTGTGATGTTGCATAACTTTGTCAAAACAATGCCACAATGAAACATGGTTGTTTGAGAAATAAAAAAGCTACGCACTGCATCAGTTAGGGTTAAAAGAAATGTTGCCAAACATACAACATGCCAGAAACATATTTATCACGGCAATAATGATTCTGTGCTAGACTCTTCAGTATTTGCTTATTTAAATCTAGAGGGCGACTTTTTATTTTTGGCCAGGCAGTGTAGTAATACTATATTTGTACATTAAAAAATGTGTAATGTTAAAAAGAGCCACAAGATGGCAGCATTAACTCTACTGTTGTGAAATGAAGAGTCGTGGTTATTTATAATATAACAAATGTTGCATAATGTAACCTGTACTTTGACTTCCATACTGTTCCCCTGTGTACTTTCTTGTGTGTTTACACACACTAAACTTTGACCTGGCAAGCAGTTGGATGCTTGTGAACAAAACACTTGTCATCATTTGAGAAGTGTTGAGCCTCTGTTGAGGCCAGAAATATACTAGTATGCAAATTCAGATAAAAATGCTTGGCCAACGCATTGCAAGCACTCATCACTGTTTCTGTAGTGGTAACAAACTTCTGTACTAAAAGGAATAACCTTCCAATGTCTGCGCTATTAAACGTGATGTCGTTATTCAGTAAACTAGATATAATCTGCTCCACCATGACAGTAGTCAATCTGAAAGAAAAGAAAAGAGAATCTGAGATTGAGCATTGTGTACTCAAATTCCTTGAACTGCAAGAATATTCCCAGTGTTGAAAAGTGTTAATTATCAGCAGTCACACAATCTCTTTTTTTTTGTTTAGGAAAAGTAAACTCGATGACTCAGCGATTGGTTACACATGCTAACTCCAGGCAGCAAACTCAGTTTCACCCCTGACTGATTTAGCAGGGCGTTCGCTTGGACTTGAAGAAACCTCTCGCCTTCAGTTGATTTCTGTAGCTTAACTTTTAGAGCACAGCACTAGAAACACCAAAGTCATAGGATCAATTCCCAGGGAACTCGCATACAAGATAAAATGTATAAGTTTGTCACCCCTGACTGATTTAGCAGGGCGTTCGCTTGGAAAACCACATCTATATCCGAAACACACACACACACTGCATCTGGAAACTCTTCGAGCCCTTGTGAGCCTTTAGCGTGAGAAAAGAAGGCCGTACGTTACTCTCTGTGGGATAATGGATGCTGACGGACCTTTAAGACGTAGTGAGCTCCTTCACCATTAGGTTCTCAAATGTATAGGAGAGGACTTATGTTATATTTATGGTGTAGAACAGGGGTGCCCAAACTCGGTCCTGGAGGGCCGGTGTCCTGCAGAGCTTAGCTCCAACTTGCCTCAACACACCTGACTGGAAGTTTCTATGCCTAGTAAGAGCTTTGGAGCTAAACTCTTCAGGACACCGGCCCTCCAGGACCGAGTTTGGGCACCCCTGGTGTAGAAACTTGAAGAAACCTCTCGCCTTCAGTTGATTTCTGTAGCTTAACTTTTAGAGCACAGCACTAGAAACACCAAAGTCATAGGATCAATTCCCAGGGAACTCGCATACAAGATAAAATGTATAAGTTTGAATGAAAGAACTCATGTCTGCTATATAGATCTGGGTTGTGCCGATAGACGATAGTATTGTGTATCGACGATAGCAGATGTCTTTGTCGATAGTCAAGATTATATTAGGCTCTTCCTCCTATTAATGTATTAAATTATTATTATTATTATAAATATTATTAGGCGGCCTATTATTATTTGGCTATTATTATCAAATTGCCCCGCTACTTCACCTCAGCAGCGCACTTCATGCACAAATGAGGATTAGGCTTCTCGTCCTCTTTGGAAATGTTTTAAAAACGGACTATAAAACTAAGCCCACATCAAAATTGAACTGCAAAGTGATAAACCTATATTTACAAATTATCTTTTCTTGAACAGCTGTATAAATGAGAATGCCGAAAACGGCATCGTCATCAGCATTTAGTTTTCTTTACAGCACATTCACAAAAAATATTCTTCATCATCGTTATTATAAAAATATGCAGATAAGTTATCAGTCTAACAGGGCTCGTCATGGGGCGCGCGGTCCGGAGTGCTGTATGGCTGATGCATCCATTTAATTTATGCTACTTTTACACGACAACGATATAGTCAAAAACGGAAAAGTTTTCCCCTTGCGTTTTCAACATTTTCACGTATATATTATTACGTATATTTGCGTTTACACACATCCGCGAAAACGGCCAAAAATGCTGTATTACGTCCACCGTTTTCAAAGAGTCCAAACTTGGGTGTTTACACTGAAACGACAACGGTGGCGTTTTCAAAAACTTGCACTTTGAAACCCGTTTTCAAAAATATCCGTTTCCAGTCCCCAAAACGCCGTTGTCGTGTAAACGAACAGGCAAAACGCATAAAAAGTTTCAGTTTTTGGCTGAAAACGTCGTGTAAATGGCCCCCTTAAATTTACTTCAAATTTATGAACTTAGGCTACCTGTTTTAAATACTTTTATATTTAACTTGTTCGATTATGTCCAATATTTAGTGTTAAACTGTTGGTCTTTAAAATAAACCTACTTTTGATTTTCACCGTTGGCTGATTTTGCAGACCTTTTAGACTGATAACTCCCATGCCCCGATGCGGCAAACTTGTCACAGAACGCACGGTCCTAATAGTGATGTATGACTGATGTATCCGAATATATATGAACTAGCTGTTTAAAATATTTTTATATTTAACATTTTAGTTTATCAGTATGTTTGAAAGTATATTATTTAGATTATTGGTGCTTCCATAGGCTCTCTCTGTCTCACGCACGCGTGGTTTAAAACACCAATAATTATGAAATAGCCTATGACAAGTACTGAGAGTCTCTCTCTTGCCCCACCCACCCACAAGTTCACTGAGTTTTGCACTCTCACAAAAATGAGTTTTAATTAGGGATGTCCCGATCAATTTTTTTTGCCCCCGATTCGAGCTGAGTAATTGAATATTGAGTATCTGCCGAGACCGAGTCCTGATTTAATACTTGTATATTCCTAGTGTTTGATGCACAATTCAAGTACATTAAAGTTATTAAAATCAATCCAATGTATACAGAGTTGTGCAGAGAGTAAAAGTAATATATGTATGTGTGTGTGTATTCTAAAAATTGTAAACAAACTATGGTCACAATTATTAATATGGGACTACTGATATAAACCTCTTTTATTTTATACTGTATGTACAATAAGCAGAATAATTGCAACATAAAGGGAAAAAGTGGAGATATGGTTAGAAAGCATGAAGCTTGCGAATGCCAGGACCCCAGTCTATCAGTCAATCCATAGCAACGTGTTATAACAACGCTGTTTCAGACAGTCTGACGGCAGATAAAAGTAAACTATAAATTTACTTTACTCACTGGTTCTCACACACATAGATTTGAACAACAAATTCTGCACAGAGACTGATTTAAGCATCTTTGGCTGTTGCATTCATGTGCTCAACCGACATGTCTGTGATTGGCTACAATGCTCAACGCTGCAAAAACACATTGTAAATGGTAATCTTTGTTACGGGAGTAAATATAAATATAATGCTGTAATCACCACTTTTCATTACTAGGTACATCACCGTGAAATCACGATCATTTTTCCCAATAATTGTGCAACCCTAGTTGCACAGTTAATGTGCAACACTAGAGGAACTTCCTAGTACATGCACAATGTAGTAACATTAGACGTGGCAAACCTGTCCATGATATTACTGCACAGCAACCACAGAGAGCAACTATAAAAGTCGGCATAAAACAGAAATCATTGTGTTTTCTAGGCTATTGTGGCATATGTCAGAGTAAAACGGCTTCGTGAACATGAAAAACCGTGTAGGGCAGGACTTGATTTTGTCCATCAGGGATTGATTGGATTGTGGATTGGGGCCCAAACTCACACTTTATTCACCTTTATTTATTCATATAGTGCAATACAGATTGTTTCAAGGAAAAAATGATTCAATGATTCAAACAGAATTCAATTCTGCTGTAAAGTGGCTCTGAAAAGACCATAGATATCTGAACCAGCGCTTGCATTTTTCGAGATTACTGGATAATTTTGCTATTGTTTATTTATAATAATAATAATAATAATTGGGCTGTCGTTCATTTATCTGTCGTAAGGTCAATTGCTGTGATAGTTTCATCTGAGTGACAGGTTGCTTGAGGGCAGGGACTGAAAATGTAAATGTAACTTTATTACCCATCCCTCATCAGACTCATCAGAGAAGAGATGTTGTTGCAAAGGGCCGGGCAAATTAACATTTTTGATGAAAGATACATGATTGTCAGTTTATATACATTAAACTTTAGCATTTCATTAAAAAAAAAAAAAAAAAGAATTGTCAATTCTGATTTCATGATGACTTACAGTTTACATGTCAGTGACTTTATTATTATTTATATTATTTAGTGGAAGATCACTGAATTAATCTGCTAATAAACTACATGTTGAATACAGTTTAGAGCAGTTTATGATGCAACACAAATGGTTTATGATGTTCAGTTTAAGCTTAATTTATAAAGCGCCAGACTAGCATTTCCTCGTAAGCTGTTGTATGTTGGGTTGGACCGTTTTTTCTTCATGTCTTTACCAATATTCTCAGTCATGAATATTGTGAGAAAGAGCTTTTCTTTCTCAGGAGCCCCTCACTATGAATGGAATGTCAAACAAGTGAAAACTGATACTGGAGAGTATATCTCTACCTCTCCCCAAAGGATCATTCTCCACTGTTCAAAGTGGATTTGAATTCCTTTGGCTTCAGATAAAACAGCCTCCTGATTTTCATTTGCCATGTGCTGGCATGGCACTTGTGGAGATATTTGCAATTTATCTTTTCGTCATTCCTGTTGTTAGATATGAAGAATGCATGAATGACACAACAAAATGACAAAAACCCTGCTTTGGTCCATGTGGGCTTTAAACATTCATGTTAATGAATAAGACTTGCCTGTGCAAAAGTCACTAGGGTGTTGCTATGTGGTTGCTAAGGTGTTCAGAGTGTTTTGACAGTGTTGCTCCGCATGTTCAGGTGTGCTCTGGCTGGTTGCTTACTGGTCTAAATGAAAAGAGGTATTCTATTCAAGTCTGAGCACTTTGAAATGTAACAGCACACTTCTCTGTATTAACAAGCCACACAATTTGAGATTTGATTCATGTCCATACTATAAACGGTGTGGGATGAGTTACACACCGAAACTTATTTGAAGTATGAGCAATAGTAAGCATTAAGCCAAGCAAGCACCATTAATGAATAAATGGCAAGGACACACTATCTTGGAAAGGCTCAGAAGCTGGTTTGCAGGGATGGCAATGATTTGTATTTTGTCTTTTATGCAGGTCAGGAAAGACTCTGTCAGCTGTCAGAAAACACAACCTACTTTCGCAGGAGATTACATGAGATGGGCTTTATCATCTATGGGAACAATGACTCCCCTGTTGTACCCTTGATGCTCTACATGCCAGCTAAAATCGGGTCAGCCTCACTTTTTGTTTAACTGAATCATGGCTATTGTATTTGATGATATGCTCGCCAGAGGATATGTTTTTTTTGTTTTGTTTTTTGATGATTTTACAAAAAATGTGCTTGATTTTGCAGACTTTGTTTTTATGAATTTATTTATTTTGTATACTGTTGTTTAGAGCATTTGGGCGGGAGATGCTGAAGAGGAACATTGGGACAGTGGTGGTTGGGTTCCCTGCTACACCCATCATTGAGTCCCGAGCTCGTTTCTGTGTTTCTGCCGCCCACACGAGAGAGATGCTCGACACAGTGAGTATCACATGAACACTAGTAAAACAATAATTGTAAAAAATAATGACACAAAATTGTCTTAATTTTCTGTATTATAATTTATTTTTGTCTTTTCATTTTGATTTTGGGGTAAAATAGTACTTTGTATGGAAGGCCATTTCTGCCACTGAATAAAAAAAATATAAAAAGGTAATTGCGACTTTTCATCTCACAATTCTGACTTTTTCGTGCAATTGCGAGTTTATATCTCGCAATTGTGACTTTTTTTTAAGAATTGTGGGATACAAAGTCGCAATTGCAAGTTGTAAAGTCAAGATATTAACTCGCAATACAAAATTTTTTTTCTTGCGATCGTGAGTTTACATCTCGCAATTCTGACTTTTTTTCTCAACTTCGGGATACAAAGTCGCAATTGCATGTTATAAAGTCAGAATTGTGAGAGATAATCTTGCAATTGCGAGTTATAAAGAGTTTGTATCCGACAATTCACACTTTTTTTTCTCACAATTCTGACTTTTTTTCTCCGAATTGTGAGATATAAATTCGCAATTGTGAGTAATCAAGTCCAATTCTGAGGAAAATAAGACTATTTCCTTACAATTGTGAGATAATATCACACAGTTCTGACTTTATATCTCATAATTCTGACTTTGTAACTTGCCATTGCGAGTTTCTAACATGTAATTCTAAAAAAAAGTCTGAATTATGAGATGAAAATTTGCGATTACCTTTTTTTAAATTTATTTTATTTTTTTATTCGGTGGCGGAAACAGGCTTCCATATCTCTGAGATATTTCATGAGCTTCACCAATAAGTCTATTAGTGTATTAGGCAAAAGTTAAAAAGAAAACGTAAAATGTAAAACACAAACATTTACTTGTGGCTTACTTTTTCAACTTCCAAACTAGGCCTGGGCGATAAAACGGTATCGATATTTATCGACGGTACACCTTCATCGATAACGATATACAAATTGTTCGATATAGCGCATGATATAGGCACGTGCTGTGACAGCTCACACAAACACGAACACATGCTGAATTGAGTGCTGTGCCTGACTGTGATGAGGAGATTGTGAATAAAAAATGAATATTAGTCGAATTTAAAATAAACATTTGCATTTTGAATGCAAAAATGGTACAATCGAATGTTAGGTGTGCGTCAGGGAGCATCATCAGTGGTGCGCGAGATGCGGTGATGAGGTATGTGACGTTGCATTTTAATGTTTTGTTAGTCTAGCCCACGAGACGCGCCGCTGCTGTGTTATTCATTCAAAATATTAGAGAAATATAGTAGCTCAATGCGTAGAAGATCTTGATTAGGTTAAAACCGAAACCAAGCCATTCACACAGAACGCATATTCAGCACATTTTTACACAGACAAATATGACTGCTGTCTCATGCAAGAGATGCAAAGAAAGTCATGCAAAGTTAAAACAGTTTTAACGTTTAGAAAACGCGACGCAAATTTGTGAAGGTTTATTTCATTTCACTGATGTGAAATGATGTCATATGTTTTTAAATGCAATCTGTGTGATCGCGATTTGGCTCTTTGTATTAGGCTAAGCAATGCATAAACACATGATGCTGTTTTGTTCATAATTGTTTATGCAGTTTACAAAATTATATTTGATTTATATATGTTAATTTAGACGTTATGCACGATTTTATAGACAGTTATTTGCATTGACAATTTAATGCGCTGCATTATTTTGCTCATTGCGCCCTCCTGTGGCCTATTTAATCGGCATATAAAACATTAGAAATTAGATATTGGTTTAATTTTTATTTTGTGTTTGACTGTTAAAAATAATATATATGCCTATATATATTTGTTGTTTGTCTTAATAAAGTGGGCAAATTAAAAATACAGTGGTTAAATTAAAAAAAAAAATTCTATTGCTCTGTTTTAAAAAAGGTTATAAAAAATGTCAATAATTATCGATACCGAACGATATGAAACATTATATCGTTGATACATTTTTTAGCTATATCGCCCAGCCCTAATATTATCCCAGATGAGTTATTAAAAAGCTAGCTTGATAAAATATGATTGGAATATCATTATTAAT